AGGGCACGGGAAGCATAGCTATCGATCTAGCTTCACCAGCGTTTCTCGAGCGTTTCTCCAGCGGCACCAGCGTTTTGCTAGCGCTTGCAGCGGCAGGGAGTAGAGACTATGTGGCCGTGAGAGACGCAGAAGCGATGTGCATTGTAGAGACTATGTGCCCGTCGAAGACGCAGAAGCGATGTGCATTGTAGAGACTATGTGCCCGTCGAAGACGCAGAAGCGATGTGCATTGTAGAGACTATGTGCCCGTCGAAGACGCAGAAGCGATGCGCATTGTAGAGATAAGGGCGAGTGAGAGACGGGCAATCGATGTGTTTTGCCTCCTCCAATACTCCCATAGTCTCTACTTTCCCTCGCGCGCCTGCAAACAGCTAGCAAACGCTGGTTGAAACGCTGGAGAAAACGCTGCGTACGCTAGCCGTGCCGCTAACGCACGCTCGCTACGCCAGCGTGCCGCTGGTGACGCTGGTGAAGCTAGATCGATATGCATCCTCTCTTCGGCACTGCCGCTGGCGTACGCTGGAAGCGCTACGCTACGCTGCGCTACGCTACGCTACGCTGCCGCAAAGTATAAACGCAGCCTAAGGCAACCAATTTGTGGAAAAGCTGCCAGAGGCGGAATGCTGGCTCACACCATCAGTCCTTCGACCCAGTTTTACGAATTTTCTTGTCCGTCTTCACGTCTGAGGACTCCGTTGTTCAATTACTCGAATAGTTTCATATGAATTCATAGAACTGCGCCTACGGGGTGTCAATTGGAATTACTGACCGCACTTCTGTGAGAGTTCTACCCTCGTCATCCGGGCAGTTGATTAGGGCGGTCGTCAACGGGCCGCAGCGCGTGCCAGGAACTATTTGCTTTTTCCAGGCTAATTTAGTCATTTTTTCCACCTTGTGAAGATAAGGAGCTGCTAATCTTGGAAAAAGTAGCCAAAACAGTGAAAAGTTGGAAAAATGACTAAATTAGCCTGGAAAAAGCAAATAGTTCCTGGCACGCGCTGCGGCCCGTTGACGACCGCTCCTAATCAACTGCCCGATGAGGGTACCCCTGAATCGCAAAACCACAAGGATCCCTTCAGAACACGCGCCTGTGACTCAATGTACACCGATGAACTACCGCTCTGAAAGCCGGTCTTCATTCCACGAAGGGTTTCTGGCTTACTGGTGCTTGAGTAGCTCAATAAAATGTTCAACAGCACTGCAAAGGTGCCAACAAGAATGAACCTCCCTAACGCTAAACTGTGTTTCCCCACCTCTGATATATGTATTCACATTTAAAGGCAAAATCGCGTCTCATTTGCCAATTTAGATAGTGTATCGGGCATCGCATAAAGAGGACAAGATTCAGAGTAAACCAACAGTGAAGAAAAAAGCAAAAAAAACATCCCCAATATCCCAAATAGAGCCCCATTCCAATCCTAGTTTGTACGTGCATGCGATCGAAAAACGGCGCTTGCGGACGAGTGTTCCGAATTATTGGCCCGCTGCCAGAAATAAGTGCGGCGCGCTTCGTTTGGTAGATTTATCTTTATATTTTTCATTTTTTAGAAAGGTAATCGTAACAAAGAGTTTGTTTACTCGTTTTCAGTTTGCGTTTTTGCTTCATGATCAATTGTTCAAACGTTCAATTCAAAATGTTGCAGTTTCTTCCAAACTGTAAAATAGAAACAGGAAGAAACACAGTGCTAACGTATCTGGGGGAGGAAGCTGCTCGTGACGAGCGATGACCTATCTGCTCTTCTGCTCCTTCGCCGTAGTAGAAGTATTTTCATGTTTATTTTTATACATTACACAAACATGTTTAGGACATAAATATAACACTGGCTTAGGAAAACTAAATCTTGAGAGGTTTGCTCACAGTAGAATCACAAGGCATTTACCTCACTTTTCACATTCTCCTATAGTTCCAATGGTCATTTATTTTCTCGTTTATTGGGATTTCTCAACAACGTCCTCATTTGTTTCAGTATTCTGTGGCTGCTAGATTCCCCTTTCAAATATGCCGGGAATCATAAGCTGTTTCGAACAGTTTAGCGTAGCGGAAAAGCAGGGTAAATTGAATGCTCATGTGTCGCGTGGGTCACTTCCTCCCTCCCAAAAACGTTAGCGGCATAAACGCAAACATGATTCCGATCATAAACTTGGCAATAAAGAAAAGTAATCACGGCGTAACTGGGTGAGAGCTCCCAGCCGCACACTGCTCATCCGCTCCTCTTCGCCGAGACGCTAGCTCTCCTGGTAGAGGAAAACGCCTTGCGCTTATTTCGAAATCTATCTCGGCGAGGAGGGAGCAGAAGAGCAGCGTCCGGCGTGTTCCTCTAAACACTGCGGCTCCGTCCCTTGACGGGATTATAATTTCGAACAAATTTCGCTGGTCTTTGAATGAATATGTCGCAGAGATTTTTGCTTAGGAACATTTATATTTGAGTATTCCGCAAAGAGTTCACATAGGGAATTGAGTTCAACAATGATGCTGACAAATATCAAGTAATAACATTCTGCAGAACAAAAAAAAAAAATCAGTAAACAAAGCCATCGAAGATTCCTATCTGAATGAAAGAAGAGATTATTTATTTGCCCGTGCCTTCATATTTTCGGAGCAGGCGTATTTCCTTCGTGCCTCCCCCCCTACTCCAGTCATAATCTATTGCGCAGGACATCACTTGTCCCGGCTTTCTATATTCGAAAACTAGATCTCTAAAATATTGATATAATTAATCAATGATCCCTCCTTCCTTCTTTCCCATCCTTCACTGATCCCTCCCCCTTTGCGTTCCCCCTTCAGGTGATGGACTAGTAGATGCTCAGTGAAATTACCCCTTTACTCTCACAGCGCAGAATTTGTTGCTGACTTATAATTATTATCCAACCTCCTTTCTAGCACCTCCTCACCCCCTCTTGAGTCACTACAAAATCCGGGAACAGTGATGGCCTCGCAATATGTAGGTATATGTCTCGGAAGTAGCTGGGGGGCATGAAGGAAATGTCCAAACGAGCTCGCAGTGCACGACTGCTCCGAAAATATGAAACCGCGGGCAAATAAATAGTCTCAAATCTAAGGAAACAATCTGAATAAATAATAACCTCGCGAAGAAATCCCTCCTATTGAAGAGTGCTAATTCAAATGAACAAAGGGACGCGCGGTCCCACAACAAAGCTGACGACTTGCGCCCGTAAAACTCACCCTGCCATTTTTCCGGGTGTACATTTAAGCGACAGTGGACAGAAAAGCAGCGTGCAGCTTGGTACCCCGTCACATAGGTCAGCGGCATGAAAGCAAACATGACCCGGAACATAAACTTGGCAAGAAAGAAAAATAATCGTGGAGTAACTGGGCGAGAGCTCCCAGCCGCACACTGCTCATCCGCTCCCTCTTCGCCGAGATAGTGTCCCTGGTAGGGAACGCTCGCTTATTTCGAAATCTATCTCGGCGAGGAGGGAGCAGAAGAGCAGCGTCCGGCGCGGACCCTCACATGGGTACTGGCAAAGAAAACCGTTCTCAGGGCACATGTCAACCCGAACAAGCTTCTACCTCCTTCCTTTTATTCTCCTCCTTCGTTCTTTCTTCCTTCTCTGATCCCTCTCCCCTTTGCGTTCCCCCTTCAACTGCTGGACTGGTAGATGCCCCGTGAAATGACTCCTGGACCCTCGCAGTGAGAGATTGTCTGGTTGACATCTGCCCCGTAACCAAGCAAAAACCATGTGCCGAACTAAACTTTGACACAAGATCGAAGAGCGAAGCAGAGGAACGATGGTGCGCACGCAGCGTGCGTTGATATGGCAATGGGCCTACGCATTGTATGTAGTCCGTCGTTGATTTGTACTGTATGAAGAAACTTACGTGTCGGCCTAACAATAGCAGCAGCTACTACCACAAAAAATGCAGAAAGATTTAAGGTCGTACCTGACAGCTATGGAAGCGGATGAGGAGATCGCGTGCCCCGTTGCGATGGGCAATCCAGACCCGCAAGTGGTGGAGAGGGTTATGAGGAGGGAGAGGGAGAGGGCATCGAGAAGAAAAGCTAAAGATAATGGAAGGTAAGGAATCGAACTACTGGAAGTGAATACCTTCACTTGTATGACTTCAGATTATGCTTTTTGCTGGGTAAAGAGCTTCCTTCATCGCGACTAGCAAACCGGCAATGGTGTTCGTGCGGGTCGTGTGTGCTTGACATTCACACCGCATCCGCGAACGTATTGCTGCCGTGAAGCATTTGGAGGAAGGAAGAGGCAACGAAGCGTTGAAAGGGTTGAGAGAGAAGCTGAAGGAGTGTGGGCAATGCATTGTCCACCACCCTTCATTCTACAAAGTAGCACAAGACCCTGAGGTAACGTTTCAGTTCTTCCGATACTATTCTACATTTCCGCCGTGCCGCCCCCCTCCACACGCACGCACCGCCTTCGAGCTCCGCTTACCTCTCCGCTGCAATTATGGGTGGAGAGGAAAAGGAGAAGGATCCAGTTGAAGATGAGAACAGGCTAGTTCCTAGTTGAGAAGCTCAATACGGCTGCAACAACTCCAGTTCAGGTGCCTGAGATATTGTGCCTACCGGGCTTTCGTAGCCTGGTGTTACGGGCACTTAGGATTCAGCAAACGATACGAACTTCCGGCTTGTGTGAGAGGAGCCATTATGAGAGCTTTTCCCTTCAAGGAGTGGAGTATACGTAGGGTTCAAGGTAATGTTTACTTGTCCTCCTCATAGGGGCTTACAGCACTTATGATATGTTGTAGGGAAGCTACAATGCTACAATGCGAAACTTCCTTTCTCATTTGCTCTACGTTATGTCTCCTTCGAACGTTGTTCATGTAGAGGTAGGCGTCGTTTATTAGCTTCCCACCCTGAACAGTCTTATGTGAACAGTCTTATGGTGCGCTTTAGAGTAAGTCATGGAGATATCCCACCATTCACTAATATGAAAATGAAGTGTATCAATTGCTAACCCATCACGGAAGCTTGCCAAACCAACAGCCTGCTTGACAATTGCTTTGCACTCTTCCTTTAACAGATTTGGTTTTCAAGCATTATCAAGATACCCCTAAAAACACAAAGGACTAATCATAGGAAACGATTACAACGTAAAAAGAAAGCTCTTAAAAGTTCACATCATACAAAACAAATACCTGGACGAAGGTAGATCCTGAGCTGGGAGCAATTGATTTTTGTCTTGTAACGAACCCTCCAGTAGGAAGGGCATAGAGCTGTAAAACTCAACTTAGGAGCACTCAACAAAAGAAAAGAGAGATTTTCCCAAAAATTCTTCTCAAAAATAGAAATAGACGGTCGTGACTCAGCATCAGCCGAGCCGAGTACCACTTTTTTCGAGTCGCATCTCTCCCCGCACCAACCCACACTCCTCTGGCAGAAAATCGAACTTATAATAGTTCTGACTTAGGATAGTATAAAAATTAGCAAAAGGTTGTAGAGATTGCACACCTTCCCAAATGCCAAGTGATGTCAACAAACATATATACAGCAAAAAGCTTTATATCTTATGCTGATCAAAATGAATCACCAACCTTTTGGTAACAATAACTACCCGGCTTTCCCATCCAACAAGTGGATCTGTAGATGGCGCTCCGTTGAATGACTGCTCACTATATACCGTGAGGATACCCTTAAGAACGAAGCAGGTTTTGACCGATGGAAATTAGTAAGACCAAATCCTCGAAACCAGAAAAAAAAACATTTTCATTGCCTCATAGCAACTGTTCGGCATCGCCTTTGCAAAAAAATCTCAAAAAAATCAAAAAAGTCGCCCCCGTTAGCCTCCTCTCACCCTCTCACACCACACACCCCGCCCCCCCCGGCCTCTCACTCGACTAAGTGCTAATTATATACAAAGGTACCTCATACCTTTGACCGCCTCGATCGTTTTGACTGCCTGCGGAATGAATTTGCGAACACTTTCTTTACGTCGTCGAAGGGAGCTATCTCTTCACTGTACATTTTCAAGAGGTCTTCTTTCTTGGTTTGGGCCTAAATGGAGAATGCATAACGATTTCCAAATTGTGTTGATTATTTGCAGTACCATACACAACTTACCTTCAAATGGGAAATATAGTAGTCCTGTAAATCGCCGAAGGCCGGGGAAAACTGTTACCCCATCGTCCATTGGGGAAATCGTAACAGGTCCTGAAAACCAAACTAGTTTCACTGTTTAAGACATAAGGCAGACAAATTAAGGCAGCCACCTTTTCGATAAACAACTCTTTGGTCGGGCACTTCAGAAAATTGGCCGCACATCTTCCTTGCATCTAAAGAATATGTATAACCATAATTATAGTGGAAGAGACTGCTTACGTACCTCAAAGGATAAACACAACCATGAGATTCCCAAGGTAAGGTCCGAATCGGTCGCTTGTGCCAAAGTCTTAATTCCTGGAGAATTGCACTGAAAGAACACTTTCACCAAACGCACCATAGGTCCACTTACAGTGAATGAACACACATTACTCTCCCTCGCCGAAGGTGATACAACTAAGGAAAGCGTAGAAGAGTTTGAACTCTTCTATGTGAATAAAAGTTAAAGATTAGCAGATTCAATGCACGATTACCAGATTCAGTGCACGAAATTTGGGAACGAAACAATAAGGAGAAAATAACAGAAAACAAAATTCGCATGGATTACCTGACAACAGACAGTGAAATAGTCGCCGAATTCTTCCCGGATCCAACGAATTTCATGATCCGAGGTCGATACTTATAGACAGGAGCCCCATCTATCTCCTAAAAACTCTTTATAAACCGACCAGGTGACAAACAGGTCAAAAAACATCTGCAAAGCGGAAAATCCCAGGAACAATAGTAAATAATTTTGTCTAAATATGGTAGGGTTCAATGGGAGAGAGAATCTGAAGTTCGAATGATCTATAATTCCAGTGCCCATTTTCTACAAAAAAATTTTGCACTTAATTTTATGACAGCATATTAATAAAGGGGCCTGCGTTAACAAAAGCATGACTATCCCGTTATTGAATAGGAGTGAGCGGACAATGAAGCGCAGCTCAAGCGCAGACCGATGTTCAGTGCTGCATCAGTCACCGCGCACATGAGAAAACGCGACTTTTGAGGAAAAAAAAGCAATGCATTTTCAAGAATTCTGACAACTTTTACCATGGTGCCATCGGCCGGCACTATGGTAAAATGGTGAACGCTGAACTTTTTCACAATGATCTAAAAGTAGGAAAATGTGGAAACTGCAAGAATGCGTAGAAAAAGTTTCAAAAAAACCAAAGCACAGTTGAAAACAAACTCACTTATGAAAACGTCACAGCAGCGATGTGGGGGGAGTTGCAAAGTAGGGAATAGAAGTGAAAAACAGAAACATGATAAAGAAATAAAGCGACCACATTACGCACGGCCTCACCGAAACATCACATGTCTAAAAACAAGTAACATCGCATGAAAATTATCAGTAACCCGTGAAGATTTTCTGCGACACATAAAAATTTGAAAGTAACAACAGAGTACAAAAATCAAAGAAGCGAAACAACAAGCAGGATAAAATCCGTTTCCAGTTCTACCCCTTCGCGCGCTCAGCTGACCCAATACAACCTACGTCCGTACAAATAACGAAAGCGCTTAGATTTTCATGCTTTTCTCGTCCCACAACTTGGTTTTTCACTGAAGGGCGGCGCTTGGGAGGCGGAGTCACTGGAAAAAAGGAGGAACCACTGGACCTATTTTGCCTTATAGCGCCCCTCCCCTGCACTTTTTTGCCGCGAAAACGGTACAGGGTTGTTCGTCGCGGACCGCACTACCCTCCCGACGCCATACACCATATTTTCAACTTCGATACCTGATCGCGGACCGTTCCTTTAAAA